CCTACTGCCGGGGAAAGGAAGGGAGGGAGGGAAAAGCGAGAGAGAGCAGGAGGGGAGGGAGGAGGAGGAAGGGAAAGGAGGAAAAGAAGGGGGGAGCGGCACAGCGCGCAGGAAGCCAACCCACTCGCCGTCGCGGAACAGGCGGGACTTGGCCCGGAGTGCCTGCGCCGCCGCCGCCGCCACCCAGTCCCCCGCTAACAGCCAGCCTGGTCCCGCCGTCGCCATGGGAGTGCAGGGCTTCCAGGACTACATCGAGAAACACTGCCCCAGTGCCGTAGTGCCGGTGGAGCTGCAGAAGCTGGCCCGGGGCAGCCTGGTGGGTGGGGGTCGCCAAAGGCCTCCCCAGACCCCGCTGCGACTCCTCATCGACGCCGACAACTGCCTGCACCGGCTCTACGGCGGCTTTTACACGGACTGGGTGAGCGGCGGGCAATGGAACCACATGCTGGGCTACTTGGCGGCGCTGGCCAAGGCCTGCTTCAACGGCAACATCGAGCTCTTCGTCTTCTTCAACGGCGCCCTGGAAAAGGCCCGGCTCCACGAGTGGGTGAAGCGGCAGGGCAACGAGCGCCAGACCGCCCAGCAGATTGTCAGCCACGTCCAAAACAAGGGCACCCCGCCGCCCAAGGTCTGGTTTCTCCCGCCTGTCTGCATGGCGCACTGCATCCGCTTGGCCCTCATCCGCTTCCACATCAAGGTAAGCGAGCGCAGGCAGCGGCCTGCTCAGAGGCTGCCCATCACCGTCTTACGTTCGGGTCCCCGGCTCGTTGCCTCAGCGCCCCCTTGCATGCGTCTCCCTGCCCCGTGACACCAGGGCCCTCTTGCAGCCCCGGTCTGCCTCTCGAGCCCTGTCCTGACTTTGTGCCCCCGCTTTTCGCTCCTTTTTACTCGCTTCGCGCTGCCCCGGGTCTCTCGGGGGCCCTTTAGCAGGTGCCCTGACGACCATCGGGGGCCAACTCCTGCGCTGCCGTCCTCCTGTCCATTGAAGCGCCTCGCCACCTTACTGGGTTAAGCGCCCCCCCCGCGGCGGACAGAGGGGCAGCATTATAAAGATGGCAGCTGGCTTTTCCCTCCTGGTTATGGTTTGACTGATTCCAGAGGGAGGAAGGGAGGGAAGTTCTGTTTTCCCATATCCGCAAAATGTCGTCAAAAGCTGGCGGAGTTAGATCCTTGGGCGGGGAGACGAGGTTTCCTGGGATCCAGCGTGCTCCCCGCTGGTCGTTAATAATCATCCAAGGTTGCCCCCAAAGTTTGTATTGCGTCTGTCTTGATTACAACTCTCCCCACCCCGGAACAGAGTAGAAATAAGTCTCCCTGCGTCCTCACTAACAAGCAGGAAGCTACAGGGTGCCCAGAGCCGGCATAGGAGAGGACTTAGTAAGCAAACTGATGTCCTCAATCAGTACAGGGATTTTTCTATTTATACATAAAGCTTTGAAAATCAGATGAGAGGAACCGGGAACATCCAAAGGCTCCAATCCACAAGATAAGAAGTCCTAATGAGTTGCTAATATTAAACGTTTAAAGGTGATGCTACAATCATCACTTTCTTTTCCCATTGTTCCTAAAGCTGGATTTCTGGTTTGTTAATACTATGAATTTTTTGCCATCTCTCTTCAGGCCTTCTGCCATCATTCTTAAGTACAGGTCAGGTCCCCATTCTTTCCCCATACAAATAGCAATATAAACTGTAAAGAAAGATCTTTGGTGATTGGTGTATTTGGCTCAGGATTGAGAGTTGCAATGCCAATTTAAAACAAAATCCATCTGCAATATTTCTGTTCTAGATTCACCCTAATTAATCTTTTGAAGTGTGTCTTCTGTGTTCTTTTTGAAAACACCACGTTGTTCAGGTTGCCATTGTTCTGATCCTTCAGATTTGTAAAATGACCCTTGAAACTAGTAACCACTCTTTGAATCAGATTTATTTTTGGATCCAGCTATTTGTTTTAAGTACAATGACTTCTATCGTTTGTTTCAATCATAAATGGGAAGTTAGGCATTAGTTTGTCAAGAAAATGCATGTAAGCATGCAAGTTTTTTAATCTGTGATTTAGGGGTGAGGGGACTTGTGGCTTAAACTACACAAACGTTTGAAGTTTTAGACTCTAATAATATAGTTGTAAACCATTTAATTACACTTTTGTAAATGATATTAAGTTTTATATTATTACTGTACAATCATGAAGCAACACAATTGTTATATGCAGTTGAGTAAATGTATATGTGAATTTGCTTTGATTACAGATTCACTTTTATTGCATGTAGATCAATGACAAGAATGCCCTTCTGATTCCTCCATGTTTTCTAGTGTTTTTTTTTTCCTGGACATTTAAGAAGTATTGTTCTTATGATAATAGTTGTAATAGTATCATTTTATTTCATTTTATTTTGTCCTTAAAATGAATCCAGTGGTGAAGTAGCCTGCATGAACTCTTAGTTCTCCTAAGTGGAGACTTTTGTCAATATTATTGCATAGTTGAATAAATATGTGACCTTCAGCAACATGTACAGATTTGTAATTGGAGTTTAATGTTACTAGGCTCTACCTTGTGGCAGATAAAGCCATAGCTGTAGAGAGACAAAGGATCCCCCCACCCCACCCCCCAGGATGGTGTGAGTTTTCCTAAAACTCATTTTTTAACATATTTTCAGAAGAGGATATTAAAGGTTAGTTTTTAATGAGTTCAGTGAAACTAAAAAAATAATAACTGTTTTCTGGAAATGTGGGTTACATTATTTTCGGATTGAAACTTACAGTTTAAGGCCTAGAATTCATTCTGCATTTTAGAGTGGCTGTGATACTTCAGACTAAGTTGCTAGTGGAAGTCCCTCCCCTTGTTTCAGTTGTAACTGGTAAGAAATTTAATAAGCCTACAAGTCGACAAATCTAGTGTAATGATTGGCTTGCATAAGTGACAGACATGAAGTGTAACACCATAGTGAACAAGTTAGATTGCTCTGCTCTTGTTATTCATCTATCAGAAGTGGAAAGCTGTAAAGTGCAATCATATTTCTCTAAATCAGATGTGACATACATTTCTAATGAATACATGATTGAGGCTAGAAATTCATTTTCACAGTAATCTTTGCAGAAAAAGAATCAGCAAATGTGATTTCAAAGAGTATTTATTTAAAAATTTATTTAAAATTTTTTTCTTTCCAACACTTAAGTATTTTTCTTGTAAAAAGGGAAATAAAAGCAAGTGTTATATTGTAATGCAAACTTCTAAATCCACTAGCAATAGGTCTTCTTGTTCTAAATTTACAGAAAATTGCAGATGGGATATTTATTCCAATGTAGTAATCCTTTAAATATGATCTGGCTTAAGGCTATTACATCTAGTGGAATAAAGGTACAGTAAATTATATTAAAGATAATATTAAGAATATAAAATAAATTCCATCATGATGACAGTTGATGTTATAATTCAAATATACTAGGACTGTCGTCTGATTAATGAAGTAATAATTCACGTTATATTGGAATCTCAAGTGCCTATTTCTAGTAAATTGCATAAACAATTGAAAATGTCTGTGAGTCTAAACAGTAAGTGTAAGAGGATCATGGGAAGTAATATTCAGAACACATAATATGGCAATACATGACACACTATTTATTTTAACTATGTGTTCAGATTATAAATACATAATGTAATTTTAAATAACTTTCAGTGAAATGCTCTGTTTATGTAAGTTGACACTCAACACTACATATTTGATTTTTCCCCCCCAATTTGATAGTATCCAAATGTGTCAGATTATATTTTCTGTCACCCATCTACCCTGGCCAAAGTTTGTATTGACGGAAGATGATAGGAGTTATAATCCATTACGTTTGAAGGGGATCAAATCTGGGAGGCCTAATCTGTAATAAAACTATTTTAAACCAAACAATTAGGATATCATACACAATGTATTTGCTTTCTTTTTCATGATTTTGATATTCATAAAACTCTGGGGAAAATGTAATACAGTATTGGATTCTTTCCAATGCTTCTGTTACTTTAATTAGCATTTGCTCCTAAGATTTGACTTACCACTGTTTTCCCCCCATTTTGGTTGTATGTGTGGGCATCTAGTCTGATGCTCACCGCCAACTTGGCATGCTTCTTTTTTCTGGGCAATTGAACAAACCTCTGAACAGAATGGTGACTGTGGGGTTTGAACTTTATAGTTTTACTTTTTAGTTGTTTTTATGGAAGATTAATACAAAAATATGACATTACGGAATTTATAAAAGGAAAAGGAAGATATGTGTATGGATATGTTGAGTGTGGGTGTGTTTAAGTGACAGAGAGATAATGATCTAAGGAAAAAATCTCAGTTCTGTTCCCCATTTTTTTAACTATTGTTTTTCATAATGGATGTCATTCTGGGTTGAAATATTGAATCTGGATATTTAAAATAGTTGTCCAATTTTCTATGAATTATATTGTATAAGGAAAACTAGGATATTAATATATTAATCAATAACATAAAAATCATAATAAGTTTCCTAGAAAAAAAGTCAGTGTGACCTGCATGATTAGGCAGGTACTATAAATACTGTTTTTCTACCTGTAAGATGTCTAACAGTCTAGGATAAAATCTAACAATTAAAATTAAATGCAATAAGTTGCAAATATTATTAATTCAGGTTCTTAAAAAGATTGGTGAAAAAGTTGGTTTTAACTCCTTTTATGAAAGTGTGGAATCTAAATGTGGAATACATTTCATAACTTTGAAGCAATGTAAGAGAAGGCCCCTGCCTGCTTGCCACAAAGCTGGACATCTGACAGTGTGGCATCTTTATGGGTGCTTCTCTTGCTGATCATAATGCCTAATCAGGTTATTCTGAAATTCCTATGGTACAAGAGAATGGAAATTGAGGAAATGATAAATATGGCCTCAGGATCATCAGATGAACCCATGCTGATGATCTTATTCTACCTAGCTATCTAGGTGTGTAAACTTTCCAGAAACGTTGATGCAGCTAGAAAAAAAGTACTATTTCTGTTGTGAGTGGACCAGCATTTTGAGGAAAATGGAAATATATGAAATACATAAATTTGAAATTTACAGACTTTACAGATGTCATGTTGTTAATTTATAAATGTATGAAATATGCTTATAAAATGTAACAGTGGAGCATATAGTTTTATTAAATAATAATTTTAAATTTATTGCTAGTTTAAAATTATTTTAATTTTGTTGCAAATATGATTATAGATAGTTGAATTCTAAGAAATGTGGCATCTATTCAATTTTTCTGGGTAAGGAGAAGCCAGCAGCCCAAAAGTTTGAAAATGGAAAAAATCATTACCACTGCAGTAAAGTGAAGAAAGTTTTATACTGTAATATATGCAACAAATATTGAAAGCACAGAATTTTAGGAAAAAATATCTGAGAGTAATGAAGGGGAAAAAAAGGTTCAGAATACATGTTTTGCTACATAAAACATGTAAAGTCTTTCTGAATCTGAAGTACTATCATCAATGTTTACTTATCCTTTATTTTTAATCATTTTAATACCTTTTAAGAATGAGATTTTGCCTTTTTTATGAAAAACTTCCCTATCCTTTCTAGTTTTAAATTATTCTGTATAACAATTTATTTTGCACATTAAAGATTGTATTATCTTTTAAAAGCAAAATATTATAACCCTTCATAACCCTTTCTAAATTTTTCAGCTTTCAGTTATCTAAAACACGAAATAGCTCATTTTCAAGGTATTGTTGTTCCATAGAACACTGACCTAGTCCAAGTTCCAGAATCTTTCTATAATGAGTACAAATGGAATTGTAGGTGAATTTCAGGGAAGGCTGCCAAACCACAGGAGGAGTCCTTTGGTTGATCTAACAAAGGACTCTAGCACCAGAAGAGTAGGATGGGATATGATAAACCTATTAAGGCAGCTTTTCTCAAAATGTAGGTTGCAACACCCCTGTGGGGGAGAGGTCATAAAGCATTGGATGGAGGGTCACTACATCATGCCTTCCTTGCAAGTTTATTATAACCACGGGTACTAGTTTCATCCAGTAGAATGCTGAATGTAAGGCACTGTGATGTCGACAGATGCCTGAGTGTTATTTTTGTTTAACTGTATAATGTTTAGCAAGCTAGAACTTCATATTCTAAATATTAACTTTTTAAAATATGATATTAATGTAGATTTCAGTTTATATGTACAATTAGGTGTTAACTTTTAATATATTCTTTTCTGCATCTCCTTTTCTTTTCTTTTGCGTAGGTTGCACAAAGTATCGAAGATCACCATCAAGAAGTAATTGCTTTTTGCCGAGAAAAAGGCTTTCATGGTTTGGTTGCATATGATTCAGATTATGCATTGTGCAACATACCTTACTATTTCAGTGCCCATGCCCTAAAACTGAGCCGTAATGGAAAAAGCCTCACAACAAGCCAATACCTGATGCATGAAGTTGCCAAGCAACTGGACCTGAATCCAAATCGGTTTCCTATTTTTGCTGCTCTTTTAGGTAGGTAAAGTAATACACGGCAATCTGAGTGTGCATGTGTGTGTATATCCTGAAAATTTGTTCATGGGAGACTTGTATGTTTCTATGTATAAACAGTGAATGTCCTGAAAGTTTCCATTCAATCCACATTTTAGCTCTTTGGAAATCAGCCCACTTTAATTGGGAAATTGTCAAGCCCAAACCAAAAATTTCATACCACCTAATTGAATATTATGGGAAATACATGTTTTTAAAAATCTTAATTTAATTGGATAAGATTTGCAGGTGCAATCATTATTATGAAGGAATAAAGCCTACTAGAGGAGAGAGTTTTGGTCTTGGGTACTTTTAAAAATGAAGAGACTATGTGAGACCACACACCAGAGAAAGATTTGGTTGGTTGGTTGGTTATTTATTTATTTATTTGAGAGAAACAGAGAGAGAGTGGAATATAATTTTTTACTGATTTGCAATGGTAAAAAAAAATCCCCCAATACTTCTGTTGTTTCATTTATATAATTATTTCTGTATAGAAAATTCTAAAGTCCTATAAAATAATTCTAGAATAAAATAAGATAAACATGGAATGCCAACAAAATAAAAAACTAAAATCATTCTAGAATAAAATAAGATAAACCTGGAGTGCCAACAAAATAAAAAACATCCATTAAAATAGAAATCTTAGAAGGAGTTAGTGACTAAGGAAGTGTGGGATTTTGTACTGATTCGGCAGGCAGGAGTGCATGCAGCCTAAATTACTGTTTGGTTTCTTTAATTTTGCCATTGTGTAAATCCACTTTTAATGGCATAGTATTATGTACAAAACAGGCCACTATGACTTGTTCAATTAACAATTCTTAAAAAATTAATCATGGCGTACAGTTAGATGTAAATGCCACCAGATGACACTTATTTAACTAGAACTTAAAGGATTTTATTGACCATATTATAGTTAGATGGACACTTAATGAAATGTAGTATTACAGTCCTACATATGAATTGCTTAATTCTAATAAAAATCTGAGTAGGACAAGAAATAGTGAAAGAAAGGTGTTCCCAACTATACAAAATTGCCTAACCTAATAGTGTCAGAGGTAGTTACTAAGCAGCAGCAAATTTATGTACACTTAGGCAGCAGAGATAATCATCTAGTTTGCATATAATGCTAATTAATATGTATTCTGCTTATATATAATTTATTTGAAGTTTTACACCATTCAAGACTTCAAATGGTAGTTTATTAAGGGCAATAAACCTTAATTTTAAATCATGGTTTCAAGCTGCCTGTCAGCCTTATGAGATAGACCAGACAGGAAACACGACCAGATGAGCTAATTCTACTTTATTGTAAGATTACATTAACAGAATCTTGCAAGTCTAAAAGTACTTCTCTCCCCACCTTCCCCTTTACAGCCCAAAAACTAGGGAGGGTCTCTTCTGAGCCTTTTGCCCCATCCACATTCCTGCTGTGGGCTCAGCTGCCTTTTATTTGACTGTTCCCTTGGTTGCATCTCATTGCCCTGTCTCCCAAGGTCATTCCCACATACCTTGATGGATTTATTTATTAACAATATTTGTAGCCCATCCCAATCAACATGAACTCTGGGTAACAAGTCGTGTAATTCAAACTATACACACTAGTGAAAACCAATAAGTAAACATACTACCTATGATGGTTTCCTATATTCAACTAAAATTACTTTAACTTGCTTATGAAATAAAAGGAGAGTTGGGTCTGGTCATACTAGCAGAAGGATATTCCATTAAGTAGAGAGCACCACTGAGAAGGCCTGTTATCCGATCCTCACGCTGTGTGCCTTATGAGGAGGAACCTTTAACAGGCCCTCTCTAGATGTGCTTACCAGACAGACAAATTCTATTTTGGCAAGGCCCCCACAAATCATAGGAAAATAGCTAGTTCACAGAAGAGAAGTCAGTGATGCTCAGAAAAACTTTTATTTACAAAACACATTGTACAAACACAAGCACATACAAAATAAGAAAAAGGCGCTAATACACCCTAAACACAAAGACAACACTTTCCACTCCATACAAAGAGAGTCACCCTACAAATACACTCACTAACAGACTCTTGTTCAGACTTTGGGTAACCAGTTAGGTATTGGCAAAAGAGATAGAGGGAAAACTCTTAATTCAGCTTAAATCAAATTTTGGTTTAGTGTTTGAATGTAGGCAAGCTGCTACCACAAAACTGATGTACAAAGACTGCTTTCAAACTATAGATCAGATCTTCAATTTTGTGTTTTAAAAGATGAAGACAAGAATTACAAATATGGTTGATGCTATCAGCAAAGACAATGTGGAATCTCTAAAAAAGAGGAGTGTGCAGTGTGGCTTACTTTGTGAATCTAGTTAGTATAGGGCTCTAAAGGCTCTCCTTGACTTTATGAGTTACCCATAGCAGCGGTGATACTGTATATACTTTTTCCTGGAATAGTGACTCCATCTGGGTTGCTGAATTTAACATTAGTTATTGATGTAATTCTGATTTAGCTGTTTTCCACAGGATCCTGAGGATCAAGAGATGTTTCAACACAGGGATTGCCTGACTGAGAAGGCAATACTGAACTGGAGTTGAAGATATCAGTGGCTCTAGTATTCCACCAAATGCAGTATATTGCTTCAATAAAAGGCTGGGCTTTTATACAACTCATAAGCCTTGACACCTCATGCACAATTTTATTTCTCTTTTAGGAGCTCTTGCATCAAGAATGTAGATTCCCATCTTATTCCTATCTCAGTTGCTCAGCTCTGTCTGATTTTTCCTATAGTTGCTGAGTACCTTTGACGCCATGGTGGAAGTAGCCTATAGTATTTCAGTATGTTTTGATATGGCTGAAAATAATGATGCAGCAAAGTTATATTTGTTTCCCCAAATCTGGAACATCCTTGATAGTGAACTGCAATATGCCTTGGGAATTGCCTTCATTATCGTCGTCGTCGTCGTCATCTTCTATCAGTGACCTTATAATTACAGATGAATAAGTGCCTGGCCAGCCACTTAGCTAAGGCCTCTGTTTATATATTCTGGTATATGGGATAGGTCCATCTTTATTTTGCTTTCTGCGCTCCAGTGCTGTCTCTAATCCCTGACCATACAAGTCCTTACTAATGCACTGTGAGAGGAAGACAGGATTGCAGTTAGTCTAAACATCTTACCATCTGAACCTACACTGTCTGCATCTCAACCTGCTGGCATGGTAGAACAACAGTACCATTATTCTGCTGAGGATAGCACATCTATGAGCATCATCACATGCCTGAAAGTTGAATATCAGCATTTCATCTTTGTTGATTGGCAATGTTGGAAAATTATCTGTTATTTCCAGAAGTACAGGCAGATAGCATATTGGAACAGTTCCATACTATGCTGCCTAGTCTATACTAATGCAGAGCCATGGCTGAAATTTTGGTTTATCACCACCACAGAAGTAGGGGTATTGGAAGAAGGGATATTAGGCTTGTGCCTCTTGTCTCCTTCCTCAGCATTGGTCTCAGTGCTGATGCTTTCTTCTTTATGAAGTTATTGAGGCTGTGAAAGATGCTTCCTCCCCTTTTTGCAAGTCCAGTATATAAGAATGCTTCTTGGGAATCTTATGTCTGTAAGGATTTCTTCTCCTGCCACTTGTATCATCATGGAGTGAGGAAAGCTAAGCATTAATTAATCAATTTATATAGCCGCCCATCTCACCACAGGCAACTTACCACAGGCAACTGTACAACAAAGCTAAAAACAGTAAAATACATTAAAAATATATTTCCACTGATTTCCTTTCTGTGGCCTGCTAAAATGTTTACCCAGCTTAGAATGGTCCAAAAGCTATTCAGGTTTTGCCTTGGTGAACTATAGAAACTCTTCAAATCCATGTTCAATTTTTGTTTTATGGTTGTTGCTTTTGTTGTGACAGAAGCAGAGTCCCTGATTTCACATACAGCAACTTGGGAATTGTTTCATTTTGTTGAAGTGATCCATGTAGCAAGTGATATCTGAAGATCTAAACATGATTACTTGGAAATAAGTTTCAGTGATAGGGGTTTTACTTTCAGATAAACATATGCAAGAATTAGAAGCAATATTAGGAAAACTGTAGATTTATTATTTTATGACTATTAACATAATGGAATTATATGATTTGTAAGTAGAATTTGAAGCTAATCCCTTTTTTTTAAAATTCTGTCAGGCTTCATTAATTCCAAGCACTTATTTTAAGTTAACACATATGTGGAGATTCATCTAAATATATAAACATACTATTTAAAGTAAATTACATACATATTCTTATGGTTTAAAAAAAGTTGTAGTGACCCTGATTTTAATTACTATAAATAGCATATTTAATTTTCCAGATACTGGTGTAATTTATATGGGCATGTATTGTATTGTATATTCTAGGTAATCACATTCTACCTGATGAAGATTTGGCTTCATTTCATTGGAGTTTACTTGGTCCAGAACATCCACTAGCCTCTCTTAAGGTACAATTTTAATATAATTTGTTTCATTTTGAAAAAAAAAAGGGATACAAATAATCCATAATATGAGGCATCTTTTAATACTGTTGGATGTTTCCTGAAAAATAGTCTACTTATTCAGAAGAAGTGACAAAGACTGATAGAGTACTACTGTGGAGATAACAGATTAAATTGCAGCTGCTAGCTTTAAGGGTTTTTTGTTACACATACACTAATAGGGTATTCTAAATACTGTTTTTCTAATTTCAATTCCCATTCTGTCATTCTAGAACCAGCAATATGTTTAGACCTTCTGGTTTTCACTCTTACCCCTCTTTTATTAACAAACAGTCTGAAAAAATAGAATATGTTTTCAAGTAAACTAGATATATTTACAAGCTTAATATAAAATTTGAAAGATTTGTGGAACTACAAATTCTCTTATGAAAATCCAAGCCCCTTCAAAAATTAAATAGAGCGCTTGTATGTTGATGAACCAGAGTTCATGAGTTAGGTATTTGAAAGAACAATTGTGGATTGGGAAGAATTGGGTTTATTGGATTTGACTGGTTATGCATTCCTTTTAATCTGGCCTGGTAGCTAAAAGATAAAGCAGCTAAATTAATTTGGTTAGATTAAAGCATTTGAAATACCTTTCCTGTTATCTATAACCAACATTTTAAAAAACCACCAGCAAACTCTGGGGCAAGGCAGAAATAATTTGGAAAAAGTCCTTTGAACCCTGCATGAGCCTAGCATCTATCTGCTGTTCATTAAAGAAGCCTGTTGTTTTCTAGACTTGTATGTGAATCTGAAGAAGTTGCAGCTGTGTAGGAATCATATTCACGTTAACTAGTAGATTTTTTAAAGCACTGCACTTTTTTTTCCTATCCTCATTCAGTAACCTGAAAAATAATAGGTTTCTTTAATGAGTAGCAGAGAAGTGCTGGTTCTGCATAGAATCCAAAGTATTTTTCTGAATTATTTTCAAAATACACATAGTCCTTATAAACACAGTTGGTTGTTTAAATAAAGCTTTCTAGAATTTTACTACTTTCTCAACTGGGCACATTATTTTACAGTAAAAAAAAAATAGCACTTATGGAAAAAGTATAGCAGGAACTGTAGATCCATTTATGGTTTTTAGATTCTCCCATTCTTTCAATTTTTTAATACTGTTATCTTGGGTAAATGGCCATTTGTGTACTGAGGAAAGCATCTGTTTCAAGACTGATTTTTAAATAGGATGTATGGAAAACACCAGTCATAATTATCATAATTATTAATTCTGTGTTAACATTACTTGGAAGTAAGTACTACTGATGGAAGTGGAACTTGATTTCAAGTAATTGTGTTTATGATAGTAGTCTAAGCAATCTATGGCTAATGTAGCATCACAGATTCTGAAAGATACTAATTTTATTTTTTTTTTAATTCAATTTTACATGCTGTTTACAAAAAATCTTGGAAGGAATAGAAGTACTGTTAGACCAATCCTCCAGCATTACAAGATCACAAGCATGACAAGCCATGGCATCACATGTAGATAGGCTACTACAAATCTGCATGCAGGTTGCTGCACTTGATTTCACTTTATATTAATGCAGTCATTCCCTTTCTGATCATAAGTGCCAATAAAATTACTTTCATTGGGAAATTCCACACAAATGTTAATTTGAAATACTTTGTAGCCTATTGAAAAGGGCTCCAATGTCTGCAAGATTTAATGTATCTGTCTTATATATCTTATTGAGTCAGTAAGTTTTAGTCATCACCCACTAGCCAGTTGCCCTTTCTTCTTTTGTAAATCTGAACAGATAAGAACACCAGTTCAGATGTCTCAAGATGGTGAGCCAACCATTTGCAACAAAGAGCTCTTAAGGCTGTTAACAAACCTGAGCAATGAAGGCATGTTTTGATTTCTAAGTAGTTTATTAATTTAGAGATTCAGTTAGAACATATAGGGACAGCTTTGTACATATGTTTATATGTCTCCTCTGATGTATAAAATGGAGTAGAGCAAACCTAATCACAGCAAAGGGACATTTGTTTTAAGGGATTTGTATCCTTCCCTACATTACCTTCCGTAGTTGTTTTGCTGCATTTTACCTTGAGATCAGTTCTGATTTCATAAGTTAAACCTACGCCTGTCATTTATTTTAGATGTGAGCAAGGCAAATAAACAAAATTAATGCCCATATCCTATATCGTTTTCATGTTAGAATTTTATACTATGGGGTCTTCATTTATGATTGGATATGTATTTAGAGATCTATATTTATAGAAGGCTGTATTTTTCGCAGATGAAAGTAGCCTAGCAAAAACATACCAGGTTGTAGAGAAGGCCTGATATAAATGTATTAATATTACAGCAATTCTTTTTTTCCGTTATAAAGTTAACAAGGAAACTGCTAAAAGGAATTTATAGCACTTGTTTCATTCCATTGAACTTTCTTTTATTTAGGATCATATTGATGGTGAGAGAATATAAAAATATAAAATTTTTTAAAACTAGAAACCATGGGAAGTTGAGTTTTTAATACATTTGTTCTTGAGGAAAAGTAGAAGCTTAAGAAAAAAAAAGTAAATGCAGTATGGACTTTGTCACTTTAACAACATGAAATGCATTATGTATAAATTTTAATACTGTTAAAATTGAAAATAAATATTCTTCAATCCACAATAATTATACTCCCAAGGTTCCTATGCTTATCTTTTTAGTTAATAAGAAGAAAATTATTATAAATATGAATGAATAACTATTTTATTTTAATTTTTTTAATACATGGTTTATTAGGTTATTTCAGCCCATTTATAGGTTGAATGTAGCTTGAGATTGGGATATTTTGATGGATTTGTTTGTGCTATATGTATTCATTTCATTTATTTTACTGTGCTTTTATACCACCCAATAATGGAAGTTCTTTGGTTTGTTCAATAAAGTAAAAGTTAAAATCATAAATAAGAAAGGAACAAAAATTTAAAACAAAAGCAACAACATAAAACCAGCATATGACAGAAACAATAAATGATGTATTTGGCTTATGCAGTCAGCAAGTTTACTCTCCCATCCATCTGGTCCCCCTCCCACCCAGTACAACAGGGAGCTATACAAAATCCAATGTAGTTATTAACATGATTTTTAAAATAATAGCTTCGGATTTTCCTGTTTTAGTACACCTCAGAAGCACAGCATTTTTCTATTCTTTTATGCCCTATCAATGTCAGCACCAAAAAAAAATGGCTTGATTCACACATCTTATTAAATCATGTGTTTTTAGTGCCATATGTGAACACAGCCATTGTTGTTTTTAAACTATGATTTATGGCTTAATATATTGTGTTAACCAGATCACTAAGCCTTGTTTGAATGGACTAGCTCAGAAGGAAGCATTAAAATAGCCACTGTCTGATAACTGATTACTTCAGATTTTTTCATCCAGGATCAGTAAGATAGTTTAGTTTTTTTCCTATTCCATTTTTCTAAAGCAAAACTGGGTAATTTCAGTCTTGTCACTTTTGCTATACTACAGATAATAATTTTTCTACATTTTCTACATATAATGTGTTTCTACATCTACAAAAGAAAAACACATACTGGAATTTGGCAACAGCACTGAGTATTTATGAATATATATTGTTGCTTAAGGATATAGAAGGATCTTACTGGATCTGAGCACTATTAGTGTCTACCAGTTTGGGATACTTTGCCAGACTCCCAGCACTTCATGGTGTACTGTAAATTGACCAGCAGTCTGTTGACACATACCTTCTCCACACTAAAGTCTATAAGTATTTCTAAAGTAAAACATATTAATGAATAGAATTGGTGCTAACTTCTCCATCCTCTTACATTGCTATGAGGTTCTTTGTAATGGACAAATGACACTCTATTTTTAGCAACCTTCTCATAAAGTACTCAGTCTAGCTCCTGTCTGATTTGGAGAAGCATGAAATAGCATGTATTGATTTCCATGCCATCATGATAAGATCATATGAATCAGAGCACTGCTCCTGATTACGGCAGTTCTTGCTCTTGTTATTTATGGCTTCTTCAAAGTGCCATTCTTATTGTATACCAAAAACATTATATATGAAATTATGCAACCTGTATGTAGATTATCATGTAAAAGTTACACAAGCATGTAACCTTTATCTTCTGTTTTCAGTTCTAAAATTAATCCATTTTGTCACTGGTTGTACTGTATTAGTTTTCCTTACTGTTACCTGCATTGGTATCCTTTTCTTTTTATATTCTGTTTAAGCTTCTATTGACTCCAGAATATATTTGTTCTTTTGCTCCTCTTTCTTTACTATCCATTTTCTTATGTTGTTACCTTGGTTCCTCTAATACCTATGTTTTCTGTAAACTAAATATTCATTCTTTTTATGTGCTTTTATGCATTCCTGCTTCATTAGAAGCCTTTACCACTATAACATACACGTAACTCCTTCCATTATTTTTTTAAATGAACGATGAAAGTTCATTTCTTCACTGTTTGATTCTTCTGCTGATCTCTCACTGTTACCATTTATAGCCACTGCCTTTTCCTCGTGTGTCTATTTAGGCTTCCACTTAAAAATTTTAATGCTTAAGTTGCTGGTACATAATGCTATGTTTGTTTAGACACTTTGAGAAAAATTAACTATATATGCATTGTGGTGAAATACACATATATATGTATACACACATATATATGCAGGTTTTCTCCCTCCATAATGTCATTGCTGGAAATGGCTCTTGGAGCAGTGCTGCTGGTCAATGAATTGTCACAGGTCCCAGTGGATTTGCACTTAGAAGGCAATGTAAATTTCTCAGTTCCTTAATAGGAAGTATCTACTGTAAGATTTCATCATATCACATTGCGGGGGTCAGGGTTATGTTTTGTATCCTCTTCCATATTCAAGAAGTTACCTCTACAAAATAATGTAACATGAAACACTGGATTAGAAATTTTTCAAACCTATATCTTTGTATGCAGAATTATTTATATGGAGGAGTCTACAGAACATGAAACCCATTA